TCATTGTTTCCAATATAGCTATCGGAGAGAAAGGGTTCATGACATTTTGGCTAGTGTTGGGATCATAGTTTGAGGTAGGGTTGTGGCTTAAGGTGGGATTTTGGCTTGTGGTTGTGGTATGATTTTGGCTTGATGTAGGATTGTGGCTTGAATTTGGGTCGTGACTTAAGGTAGGATTTTCAAGAGGTTGGGTTGTGAGTTGAGGGTTTAATCCAAGAATTTCTGCTACTGGCCTTTTTCTAGCAGGAATACCTCTTGGTTTTCTCTTTCTTTTGGGATTTGACTCAATTGAGATCTCATGATCTTTGTAGAGTATTCGGTTATTCCCAAATGGCTTTCTAGCCCTCATTGGTAATCCCTTTCTCTTGATTATCTCTCCAATGAGTAACCCGAAACCTAGAATATGGTTGAACCTGCCATTCCTAATCTTTGCACCTTTCACAAAATGAGCAATCCGGCTCAATATCAACTTGTTCCAGTCTCCCCTAACATCAGTCACCAAGGCATGCAAATATCCAATTCTTGTAGGTGATATATCCTCCATACTATTTAATTTGCACAAAATACATTTGTAGATGATTTTGACTAGCATTTCATATTCTGGCTTCAAGTCAGATTTGTGACCGGAAAGGTTGGGTTCGAGAGATGCATTCTCATTTTGAATTTCTGCCCAAACTTCGGTGTGATCATATGCATGTATATCTAGGTCCAACAGTGGTTGTTCTGGACTAGATATAGGAAGTCCAAAAGATGAGTGTAACTCTTGTTCATCAATGGTGATGAGAGTTCCATTTACGGTGGACTCAATAGTCCAACCAACAACTTTGGCATTGATATAAAAATCTGCTACATCTTCATCATAATATCCAGAGTATGGATAGGAACATAACCTCATTAGTTCGCTGTTTTGGAGTGCATGGATGATTTTCTGTGCTAGTTCGGAGTTCTTGGCCTCTTTGAGAAATCCGTGGGGGTCAAAGCTTCCTCCGGCTTTGATTCCAATAGCTAGCTTGGTGAGATTGAGTTGTGTAGATTGTTCCTCATTAGGTTGAGAGCTTGAATCTCCAATGGTTGACATAATGGGTTTGATATTTTGATTGAGATTGAGAGATGGAGCTTGAGAGTGATTCGGCTATGGAAGATGGAAGGTTTTGGAGGATTTTGAGTGGAAGAGGTGGCTTTTCAACCGGTTGGGTGGAGGGGGGTGTCTTTACAAAAATATCCTCAAAAATTTAATTTTTGACTTTAAGAGGTGAGGGTTATTTTTGATATTCCAAGGGTTTCCAACCTTTGACCTAACTGATAGTTAGTTTAGGTTATATACTCTCCATCCAATTTGTCTACTGATGTGGCGCCAAAAATTTAGATACTCGGACCAATTTTTACCTGAAATAAAATTTTACAGAGCACTAAATCTCTTTCGAAAATAATATATGTACATATATACACGTTTATGTAGTTGAGAGAAAGAGAAAGTTGATTCTTTTTAGAGAATTTATTGTATGCAACTACCATAGAAAGGTGTTTTCAATTATGAAGATAAAATCATCATCACACTATCTTGTCAACTCTTTAATGATAAAGATTTTGTAAATCTAACCAAATTTTATTATATATATATATATATATATATATATATATATATATATATATATGTATGTATGTATGTATGTATGTATTGATACTTGGTTGAAGATTCATGCATGCTTTATATATTTAATCAACATGCAATTAAGATAGGTAGACATAAATACTAAGATGTGACATATTTTGCATGTGGGACACATATGCACGAAAATACGTTAATTAAATCAGATAAAGCAACATATTTTCAGTTAAAAATTGAGCTCTTTAATTTAAATAGAGTTTAGAAACTTAGCTCAATTCAATCATGCCCATATCGTGTCTCAATTTCGAAAATCTTGATTCACACAGAGGCTTTGTGAGAATGTCAGCTATTTGATTTTCGGTCGGGATGTATTCTATTTTCAATTCCTTCTTTTCAACATGATCCCGGATAAAATGATGTCTGACATCAATGTGCTTTGTTCTTGAATGTAACACCGGATTGTGTGTTATGGCTATAGCACTTGTATTGTCACACAGTATGTTGACATTTTCACAATTTACGCCATAATCTCTCAGTTGTTGTTTCATTCAAAGAAATTGTGCACAACAAATCCCAACAGCTATATATTCAGCTTCGGCTGTACTTGTAGCTATGGAGTTTTGCTTTTTGCTGAACCATGATACCAATCTTCCCCCTAAGAACTGGCATGTCCCTGAGGTACTTTTTCGATCGATTTTACATCCTGCAAAATCTGCATCTGAGAAACCAGTTAGTGTAAAATTACCTTCTTTGGGATACCATAATCCCACATTGACTGTTCCCTTTAGGTATCGAATGATTTTCTTGGTGGTAAGAAAATGACTTTCTTTTGGCTTTGATTGGAATATAGCACATACTCCCACTGAATAAGATATATCTGGTCGACTTGCAGTGAGGTATAGTAATGATCTAATCATTCCTCGATATTTTGTTTCGTCAACGTCCTTGCCTTCATCATCTTTATCCAATCTTAAAGACGTGCTTATCGGGATCTTGATTGAGGATTTTCCATCTTGACCAAATTTTTTTATAAGATCTTTTGTGTATTTGGCCTGATTGATGAATATTCCTTCGTTGAGTTGCTTTACTTGTAGACCAAGAAAGTAGTTCAACTCTCCCATCATGATCATCTCAAACTTATTCTGCATTAGCTCGAAACCGGGTGGTTGTTCGACGTAGACTTCTTTTTCAAATAAGCCAGTTAAGAATGCACTTTTCACGTCCATTTGGTAGACAGTGAAATTCTTGTATGCGGCATAAGCTAGAAATATTCTGATGGCTTCTAATCTTGCAACTGGTGCAAATGTTTCATCGAAGTCTATTCCTTCTTCTTGTGAATATCCTTTTGCCACTAATCTTGCTTTATTTCGAACAACAATTCCTTCTTCATTGGCTTTATTCCGGAAGACCCATTTTGTTCCAATTACATTGTAATTCTCGGGTCTTGGAACTAATTCCCATACGTCATTTCTTTTAAATTGATCAAGCTCTTCTTGCATTGCATAAATCCAGTCCGGATCACTTAGAGCTTCTTCAATGCTTGTGGGCTCCACCTGAGAAAGAAAACAAGAAAATAAAGCATCTATATTTGAGGACCTTGTTTTTACTCCTTCTCGTGGATCTCCAATTACTAGCTCTGGAGGATGATTTTTGAGCCATCTCAAGTCAGATTGTAGATTGCATGGATTTTCCACGTTTCCTTGTTCAGTAGGTAAGTTGGAGGTAGACTCATTTTTCTCATCAGATTGTTCTCCAACTTGTGTTTCTACTTGAGAATTTAGATTTCCCACGTGTGGATCTTCATTCACTTCCACGTGTCCTTCACTATTGCAATCAATGTCCAATTGCTCCATACCCTGTACAACTTGATCTTTAAAAGATATGTCAGTATCATTAAATGATTTTTCAACTTGACAACTTTCCTGATCATTTTTCTTGCTCTGGGTTTCCTTCTTATGGGCTTCATCAAATGAAACATGAATTGATTCTTCTACCACCATTGATCTTTTGTTCAACACTCTGAATGCTTTACTGGTAGATGAATATCCCAAAAATATTCCTTCATCTGCACGCTCATCAAAAGTCTTTAGATATGTTTTACCATTATTAAGAATAAAACACTTTATACCAAAAGTATGGAAATAGTTGAGTTTAGGTTTTCTCCCTTTCCATAACTCGTACGGAGTCTTATTGTAAGACTTGTGTATCAAGCTTCGATTTTGCGTATAACAAGCGGTGTTGATTGCTTCAGTCCAATATCTTTTAGGTAGCTCGGCTGACGTAATCATCACACGTGCGGCTTCTTTCAGCGTTCTATTTCTTCTTTCGGCTACACCATTTTGTTGTGGTGTACGTGCGGCAGATAATTGATGTAGAATTCCTTGAGAATTGCAGTAGGCTTGGATCACTTGATTCACGAACTCAGTTCCACGATCAGTTCGGATTTTTGCAATTTTCAAGTCTTTCTCGTTTTGTAGTAGCTTAAGTAGTTCTGGCAACTTTTGCTCCACTTCATTTTTCTTTTTGAGAAATATCGTCCATGTATACCTGGAAAAATCATCAACAACAATTAGTGTATATTTCTTAACACTTAGACTTACAGGGTCTACTGGACCGAATAGATCAATGTGTAGTAGACTTAGCGGTCTTGTTGTAGATTCTTGAGCTTTGGATTTGAATGATGACTTGATTTGCTTTCCTCTTTGGCAAGCATCACATATTTGATTTTTCTTGTAAACAATGTCGGGTAGACCTTCAACGAGTTTGTTTCTTGCTAGCTTGTTGATAGTCTTGAAGTTTAGATGATTCAACTTTCTATGTCATTCCCAACTTGTTGCGTGTGCGTTGTTTGCTAGTAGACATACTGATTCTTTTGTCGTGTTCCAATCAACCACATACATATTTTTTTTTTCCTTATTCCTTCGAGCACAACTTCTCCTGAGGAATTATTCTTCACTTGACATTTGTCTTTGAAGAATTCTACTAGATATCCTTTATCACAAAATTGACTTGTACTTAACAAGTTGAATTTTAGACCTTCAACAAAGGATACGTCTTCAATTTTTAAACCATTGCGAAATATTGTACCAATTCCTTTGGTTATGCCGTATCGTTCATTTCCACCGAATACGACTTTTGGTCCTTCGATATTTTTAAAGTCCACAAGACTAGATTTATTTCCAGTCATGTGTCTAGAACATCCACTATCGAAGTACCAAATTTCCTGCAAATAAATTACACATTTTTAGGTACCCAAATCCACCTTGTACTCACTGATCTAAGTCTAGGTGATTGGTAACCATTAAACACATTATAATCATATTTAATTTTTGAAAACACTTTTTGTGCCAATTTTTGAAAATTGACTCGATTTTTTGGCACTTGGGAAGTAGATTGTTTGAGCCTAAAATAGGCATTAAATCTGGACTTAGTCCATGCTTTAATATCATCAAACCAATCTTGTTTAGAGGGATAAAATCTCCCTGCCCCAATTCTCGGATTTCTTCCCATTTTCCTATGAGGGCTTTGTGCACTTGACTCATTGGTGTGTTTCCATTTAGGAACAAACTTTTGCCTTTTTATATACTGCTTAGGCGAAATATTATTTCTTTGAGGCTTCGGCCTTGCAGCATTAAATTTGGCATTGGTTTGGTAACCAATTCCTTGTCTCATTGTGCTATCTTGACCTTTTACAAATTTTACCACTTGGACTTTATTGTTCAAAGCAGTAGTAAAATTGGTCAATTTCTTAGAGGCTTGAGAACACGAAGGATCATAATCAAGTCCGGTTTTATCACTTGAGGGTTTTTGCATATTTACCATTTTGTCCATTATTTTGGATGAATGTGTAAATGTTGCTATAACCTCTCTAAGGTTGTGTTCCCTCACTTCCCTTGATTTACACTCTTCTTGAAGACAAATAATTTTATCTTTCAAGTCTTTCACTTCAAGTAGAGCATTTTGCAATTTTTCATTTAATTCATCCTTTTCAAGAATTAAAAAATTATTGCGCTCTTTGAGTTGAGAGTGAGTGTCCATAACGGTTTGACATTCTTTCATTAAGTGAAAGAAGGACTCTCTAGAGAATGAAGAATTTACAGAATCATAAGAATTAGATGTTACCTCATTTTCTTCATTTTCATTTGCCATAAGACACATGTCCTCGCAGGATGAGTTGTTGGAGATACTCATGCAAAACATTGCATTGTCATCTTTTGAGGTGTCACTTTCATCACTTGAAGATTCTTCTGACTCACTTATCTCAAGTGGGTCACTAAAAAATGTTTTTCTTCTCTCCTTTGTAAATCTTTTATCTTTGGTCTTGAATTCTTCCTGTTGAGAGTTAGAAATATTTGTGTATTGACTTTTACTTACCTTGGGGTGTGGACAGCTTGCTGCAAAATGTCCAGGCTTTCTACAATTGTAACAGAAATTTGAATCTTCCTCAACCATTTCTTTCTTCGAATTCTTTGTTGCATTCCAAGATTTTCCTTGTGGATTTTTCTTGTAGTTGCTTCTCTTCATGAATTTCCTAAATTTCTTGACAAAGAGATCAAATTGATCATTAGACAATAATTCAACATTTTGTACTGACCTTGAAGTTGATGGTTGCTCGACTACGAGTGCGTTGTTCTTTTCTTCATGATCTTCCTCTATTCTTAATTTCATCTCAAATTCATAAGCTTTTAGATCACTAAACAGCTTATCGGTTGATAGGGTTTTTAGATCTCTATGATCTCTCATGGCCGTGACTTTCATGTCCCATGTAGATGGTAGACCACATAGAATTTTGAGTGAAATTTCCTTTTGATTAATATCTTTTCCAAGATCATTAATCTCTCCTAAGATTTTAGCAAATCTTATTTCTATGTCGGTAATATTTTCGCCGTTTAGCATTTTGAAATCCTCGAATTTCTTTAATGCTATGGTGAGCTTATTATCCTTTTCTTGCTCGTCTCCTTCACCAATTTGAATGAGCGTTTCCCAAACTTCCTTCGCGGATTGGCATTTTCGAACTTTTGGGAATATCGTGTCATCGATAGATTTCAACAAAATATCCTTGGCAATATTGTCCAAGTTATTTCTAGTTCTATCTTCACGAGACCATTCCACCTTCGGTTTTGGGATGTATTGTGGAGTCTCACTTGTTTGTTCGAATGAAGTGTTAACTTGCAAAATTTCAATAGGACCACTAGTGATGACTTCCCACATTTCATCATGTAATGCGGATAAATGTACCTGCATGCGAATTTTCCAATCATCAAAATTTTTTTAAGGAAAACAGTAGATTTTGGGCAAGAGCCATATCTCTTTTCATCATCTTGATTTTTCGAGATCAGTCTAGCAGTCAAGTTTGACTCAACAGACAACTGCTCTGATACCAATTGTTGGTCCCGATAGGGTGGTAAAAGTCTAGAGGGGGGGGGGGGGGGCTGAATAGACTTTTAAACTTATTCACAATAAATAACTCTTTGGTAATTTCAACTCTAAATAACAAGTAAATAGAGAAGTAATTAAAGAGTTATGCCCAATCAATAATTTGAATCACATGCACGGGTAGGATAAGCTTAGATGAGGTGTAAGAATGACATGAATATCTTGAATATTTAAAGGAGATGGTGCACTCAATATTTAACAATAATATTCAAGACTATAAATAAGACTTCGTGTCACGTCGACCGTATGATAAATGTCACATGCAACACGTCAAACTTGCTTAGAATAATTCAAATGTTAAGCATGGAAAGTTTGAGTTACATGCATACGTGAAAACACGCTAAACCCGAAAGATTAAGATTAACAGTGAATAGTAAACTGGTTAGTCGGATAAGATAGATAGATAGAGCGAATTATGTAAGTGCGGTATGTAAATGAGAGAGGCAATTTATAGTGGTTCGGAAGTGGCGTAATCTTCCTAGTCCACTTTACTCCATTCACTTCTAGGAGTAATTCACTATCTTCCACACACAGTTAAAATAGTGATAAGCGCTACACAAGCACTTCTTCCAGATGTCTTGCACACAGCTACACCCAACTCCGAGTGTTTCGCACACAGCTACACCCAACTCCGAGTATTTCGCACACAACTATACTCAAACCCAACTAAGTGTCTTGCACACAGCTACACTTAGCAACTAGGAGTGTTTTGCACACAGCTACACTCACTAGAGTATTTTGCACACAGCTATACTCTTTTAACAATTACAAATACAAAGGTAATTGTATCTCTCTCCAACTATTTTTGAGACTATTCAGACTAAGTCTCTAAAGAATATTTTAGCACTTGCACTTGTTCACTTCTTATCTCGTGTGTATTCACCTCTGTTATTTCTTCAAGTCTTCATGGCCTTTTTATATATAACCAACTATATCTGTTGGAGTGGGATAATTTGATTTTTGAATTTTGAATCTTCATAGCCTGATATTGTTGACAATGGTAGATCTTCAATATGATTTGATTGTCAACTTGCCTGACAAGATAATATTTTATCTCAACTTGATTTTCAAGTTGTTTCTTTAAAATATTATTATTCTTGTCAATTTTGAATTTCCAACGTATCTTTGAAATAAATCCTTCTGGTAGAATTTATTTCTAGGATAAGTTTTTATATTCATGTCTTCATAAATATTTCTCCCGTTCTGATCATATCTTCAGGCAATTTTGGATTCTTGTGGCATGTGGGTTGATTCAAAATAAATTTCTTCGAATATATCCATTTTCAGATCATCTTGCTTCTTTGCTACATTTTGCTTTTTTCAGAAGACACATTGTGCTCCCTTGGAACATTGTTATTGTTTGACTTCGGCACTTCTTGCTTGTTTGACTTGAACATTGTGATTTTCTGATTAGGTCACATTGTGACCCTTGAGACACATCGTGCTCTTTGGGTGCATCTTGCTTGTACACATCGTGCTCCTTTGGCACATCTTGCTTGTACACATCGTGCTCCTTTGGCACATCTTGCTTGTACACATCGTGTTCCTAGCATCTTGCTTGTCCGAATTCTTGACTTGTAAAAAACAAGCCTTTAGGGGGGATCGATCTCAAGTATGATCGTTTTATATAAGAACTTCTACCATTTCACTGTTAAGCTCATCTTGTCATTTGTTGCAACGCCATTCCTTTATGCTTCTTTCTCGGATGAATACTTGTAGGACCAAAATTAATTTTCCAAATTAATTTTGTTCTTCATATGGTAGATTTTCTTTGACTCGATATTCTGGATTATGATGCTTGTACTAAAGACCTAAATTCTAAGGGGATCTAAATTACATTTGGCTCATCAAAACTTTATTACAAAAATATTCCTATGACAGAGGCAATACTCCAAGAAAGGCAGCGGCTGGGTTCAAACACATAGGGGGGGGGGGGGGGGATGTGCTCTCCAAAATTATGGTGAACACCGGCTGAGACAACCAAAACATGACCTTCCTTTGAACGCAGCTTCCCCTATCCTGAACGTCCCTCTAGACGACATGATAGATTTCTTTGATTGCAAAACTCCAAAGGACATCATGGAGGAAGACAGCAGTGGTGTTGCCAATACTGGCTTGCAGGCGTCACCCGGATTTCTCCAACCTCAATTTTGGGACAATCATAAAGATTTAGAAGCTAACAACAAAATTCTTGCGCAGAAGATTGAGTCATGGAATCATACTACGTTTCATAGAAAGAGGAGGGTTTATAGCTAGACTACAAGGCATCTAATATTGTCTGGCGAACAGAGTACGGACTGATTTGGAAAAGAAGCTACGCAAAGAGTATGAGCTAATCCCTTTCCAAGAAAAACTCCTATAGTCCTGTGGTTTCAAAGATCCCGGGAAGACTGGATAGCTTCTGGGGACCGGAATACAATGTTTTATCACGCCTCATCCCTAACAAAAAAATCGCCTTCCTATGTTAGCACTCTCAAACACGAAAATGGCAACCTGTTCTTGGATGAGGAGGCACGTATGTAAGTATTTTGCCAACTTATTTACAGATGACAGCCGCACCATATTACCAAATGATCTAGTCAGTGATTTTCCAAGGTTGACTGGCAGTGTGTTAATAAGTCATTTGCACCTGAAGAGATCAAGAGAGCGATGTTCGATATGTCTCCCTTCAAGGCCCCAGGACCAGATGGATATCATGCAGCCTTCTATCAACAATCATGGAATATTTTTGGCCAGAGTTTGATTAAATTTGTGCAAAAATTCTTTGAAGATGGCGTCCTACCCCATGGCTGCAATGACACTTTGATCACTCTAATCCTGAAAGTAAATCGGCCTGAATCTGTCACGCAGTTAAGACTGGTTGGCCTCTGCAATGTATCTTACAAACTTATCTCTAAGGTCATGACAACCAGATTGAGAGGACTTATGCAGAAATTAGTTGGTCCCTTCCAGTCAAGTTTCATACTTGGGGGGTAGATTACCGATATTGTTTTAATATACCAAGAGGTCATTAGAGCAATGCGAACGAAGAAAGGGTTGGATGGTTCTTAAGATTGATCTCGAGAAAGCCTACGATAGGCTGTCTTTGGGGTTTATTCAAACAACATTGAAAGACATCGGCTTTAACCAAGTATGGGTGCGCAACATCATGAAATGTGTTACCTCTCCTCACGTTCAATGGTATAATGTCTGCGTGGTTCAAGTCAAGTCGTGGAATCCGCCATGGAGATCCAATCTCCCCCCTTCTTTTTGTTTTGTGCATCGAGCGCTTGAGCCACCTAATCGAAAGCATGAAGATCAGTGGCAATGGGAGGGGATCAAACTGACTAGAGAAAGCCCCTGCCTTACACACTTGTTCTTTGCAAACGACATGATCCTGGAACTTAAGCTTAGTAAATGGGTTGGATTCTGCAATTTCAAATGTCAAAAACCAAATTGGAATTTCAATGCTTTCTCTTTTCATCCATTTCTCCACCCATGCTTCACTTTATATAATAAATAAATTTTGATGCAAGTCACCCTAAAATTTGGCTATAATATCTCCTTGAAGTAATGAGCATCACAATTTCAAATCTTGCCTAAAGACCTCATAATTCAATACATCTTTAGAGAAATGAGAACCACTCATTTAAAACCATGTCTGAAGACTTCATCTCTGTAGAACAACTGATAGCATATTTTTTTCTTCTTTCTAAAAATAATTGCCTAACCAAATTAATCTAAGTTTTGACAAATAATATGCCAATATATTATCTGTATCATTTTTGTACACTTTTTTTTTTTTTTTGAAAGTTACTGGCTCTATTACATTGTAGTATCTGTTCATATACTTTCTCAACCTACTGAAACACAAAGAACCAATAACGCCTCCACTGAGGCTTGAACTCATAATCTTCCAAATGTAAGTCCAACCCGGATACCATTAGACCATATAGTCCTGGTCATTTTTGTACACTTAAAATCTCACATTTGGCAATTATTTGACAAAACCTAAGACAAATATACTTTAGGCAAAATAAGATAATTAAGTAATTTATTAAACAGAAAGCCTTAAGTATATTTGTTTACATAAAAAGCCTATAAGGATTTATAACAATAAAAGAAGAATATCCAGTATAATTCAAAGAGAGTACTAACCAATAATAACTTCAAATGGACATCGATAAACAACCTAACAGATAATCTGATATTTCATAACACCAGAATCCATTCAACAACCCAAGAATCAACCAAATCCAATAAAGAGATTCCACATCCGTAAGAATTTACCAAAAGAATTCCAAGAGGCTCTCCCCCTAAATTATTGCCCTCCCTTTTTGTCAAATAGATTGACAAAGGTGATCATCAGTGTTAGTGAAATGAGACTGACAGAGTGCCCGACAAAACCAGATAAGATAATAAAAAAAAAAACAAGATAATCCAAATATTATGTGTAATTTTGCATATCCTCAGTATAAGACTATCGATAGTTTTTATCAACTGGAATACTGGACTGACTGACTTAGAGACTTAGTTAATCAGTCATCCAGTTAGAGAGCAGATTAGTTTAAAGCGGAAGACTAAAGCAGAAAATAAATCAACACATATGATGTTTACCCAGTTAGATACAGTGTGTATCTACATCTGGGGGACGATCACCGAGGCGCCCAATCCACTAAATCATAATCCAATGTACAAAGGTAGAGAAACAGCAATCTCACCCAAGTTCCCCACACAAGGTCAGTATCCAGTCTACAAAGGTTTAGTGGATTGTTGAAGTCAGAGAGCCATGCATGCAGAAGTCCATGAAATCCCTTCAATTGGAGAGCTAACTCTGATGCAGTCCACTTCAATGATGCAGTCCCACGCTGTTCCCATAACTGAGTGATCTTCACGTCCTTTCGTTTAAGCAACATTGATTCTTCTCAAGTTCTTCATCACAATCACCAAGAACTTATTGTCTTGAGAAGAGGCATGACAATCAGAGATGTGTGTTTCTGTTTACCATCGAGTGTTTTTGGCTTCAATCAACGCAATCCTAATTCTTGATCGAATGAGGATATATATACTTCTTTAGTAAGAACACTCTCCAAAAATATCTTTGATTGTAGAAGATCTTCAGTGGCAGTGCGTCTGTTGATTATACTTATCGGTCAGTCTTCTATAAGAACAAATTGACACCAGGCTAAACCCTATCTTAATTTGCCATAATAATATTGCCAATTATATGTTGGGGTTTTGAAAAAATAAAACACTAACAAACTCCCCCTTTGGCTATTATTTGGCAAAACAACTCGACTAAGGATAGAACAATTTAGCTAAAGATAGAGACGTATAAATAACTGGCACATAAAGGAAATAATGTCTGAAATACAACCCATAAAGACATCAGCACACAAATCGTGCTGGGTAAAAACAAAGAACAGTTCAATTCTTCACAATACATAAGGCCACCACAAACACATGCCCAGACAGGACCAGAAGATGCCATAGAACACCATCACAATCACAAAAAAACTCCCCCTGAGTTAGGCACTCCCCCTTTTTGCCAAAGATAGACAAAGGACATGTTAAGCATTGGAGGGACCTTCACTGTCAGACTTCACAGTATCACCAACAGCAGACTCAGTCAAGCTCAATCGAAGTAGAACAGTTGCAAGTTCAGTGCGGGCCGCATTGATCTGTCTTGAGATAATATCACTCACAGTCTCCAGCTTAGACACACGAGCCTTCAGACGCAGGGACAGCGGTACATCTCGAGCATATGCAGTATCTTCAACAGTTGCATCAGCCTCAGAGGTATGCGGAGGATCAACAGGTGTAACATCCCTGATGTGTTTGCCAGTCAACAAGCGTGGATTGACAGTATATAGGAGAGAAGGAGTAACAACCTCACTTTGCATCGGAACCAACCCTTGAGAAGTTAATACACCAAAGATGAGATTTGGATACGGAAGTCGTACCTTCTGTTCCCTGGGATGTATCAGTGTAAGAATATGATAGAAGATCCATTTCCCCAAGTCAACAGTCATCTTGGTGCCAACTCTAAACAGAAGAGCTGCTAGAGGTTTTCCCACTGTATGGAAGTGCGCTGATGGAATCCAGTTGTGCAAGGCAATCCGGTGCAGAATAACAAACTTGGAGGTAAGTTGAGAGCTAGACAAGTTCTCATTATCTCCAGTTGGCCAAACAGGGGCCAGTCCCCCAGTGAGGGTCTTTGCAACCACATCCCAGTCAGAAACTTGTTCTTCTTCAACTGTCTTCAACCCATAGTACTCATTGATCATGTCTGGTCCGAACACATACCACTTACCCCTAATAAAGATTTGTTGGCACCTCGTACCAGTCAGGTTATCAATCTCCTCATTCAGGTTGCTGTAGAACTCGTAGGTCAGCAACTTTGAGTAAGGGCAAGTGGATGTCACTGTCTTCAGCAGGCCAACCTCACTCAGCAGAGGCAAAATATCACAGACTGAATTCAATTGAAACTCATCAACTGATCTCTGGACTATTAGCTCTCGTCTCACCATTGTAGACCACTTGCCTTGAGCAGTTGCAGAGACAAACTGTAGCTTATAAACAGAGGTATCAGGACTGTCAGAAACATTCTGCACATCAGGAGTAAGACTCCTTCCTCTTGGCCTTGTAGTAGCTTTCATTTTTCTGGTTGTTGTGGATGGAACAACTGTAGGAGCCTTATTCTTCACAGACGATCTTAGAGTTTTAAAGACTTGCCTGACCGGCGGATCACTTTCAGCCATCTCAAAATCAGTTGATCTTCTTCTTTTCTCTGGTTGAGTGGATTCGGTATTTTCATCACCAGTTTCCACAGCAACTCTCTCTGGGACTCCTTTTCGTTTGGACTTTCGTCTTTCTCTAACAAGAGAACTTTTTGTAGGACTCAGAGAAACAGAATTGATTGTCTCAGACACATGGGCAGATGAGGATGCAAGAAGCTTGGTGACTTCTCTGATTTTGAAAGTAGTGGAATCTGGGTGTGCTGTTTCTTCAACTGTTAGAGACCCAATCGAATCAGAGGATGGGGCTTGT